TTTTTTAATTTTTATTGACACTTTTAGTTCGTTGTGTCCTCCATTTTTCTTGCATGTCCTACATTTTGTCCTAGTTTTGTGGAAGAGAATTATGGCAACCCTAGTAAAGGGGGATAGTCTTTTTGGTAATACAATAGATGTCCAAGGTGGAGGATATTAGAAGGACATAGGGAAGGTAACCTAGAAGAGAAGAAATAGAATACCCCAGAAGATAGGAAGGAGTATGATAGGAAAAGAGTGAAGGAGAAGGTATGAAGGTAAAGTATGAAAGGAGAAAAACTGAGGAGGGAGGATAGATAAGAGGAGGAAGGACTGATATTTAGAGGGATTATAGTATGTTGATTAAAGGTAAGAGGAAGTGAAGAGGTGAGTGTATGGATAAAGGTAGAGAATAGAGGGAGAAGTGGAAGACAGAGAAGGGGATTGAAAGATAGAAGGGGAAGGAGAACAGGAAGGATGTGGAGAGAGGAAGTATGAAGGAGAAGGAAAGGAAAGGAATGAAAGTGAGAAGTAGAGAGAAGGATATAGACAGAATGGATTAGGTAGAGGAGGGGGGAGGGGAAAAAAGAGTGGGAAGGTATTGGATGGGAAAATGAATGGGATGGCATTGGATGGGAAGTATGAATGTAAAGTTGATATAAATGGTATGATAAGTTTGAATCTGTTATCTATTTGTTGTATGTTGTATTTTTTTATATGTCTGAAATATATTTTTTGTTTTATATGCTTAATAAGCCTTTACCCCCAAAAAAGATGACATCTTGATGAGAACTAGAATCAAGCCAGTAGTGGTGGACAAACATGGTTAGTTGTGACCACGTAGCCACCTTGCAGGCATTAGGCAGAGGAATGCCTCTCAGGAAGATGGCAGAGAAGGAGACAGCCCTGGTAGAGAACATGGCTGAGGCTTCTGGGAGCTGAAGTCCCTCGGCCCTTAAAGGGGACAGTTCGCCTACTCCTGGTGTAGACGGACACCAACAGGAGGAGGGCGTTTAGCCAGTTCATAGGCCAAAAGAATTGTTTGTGAAATCCATTTTACAAATCTTTGTGAAGAAACAGGGTGGCCTTTTCTGGGTCCACCATAACAAACAAACAATTTGTTGGTCAGCCTGAACTCAGCAGGACATTGAACATAAAAGGCCAAAGCATGGCGCACACTGAAGGTGTGCACAGTCTTTTCCAGAAGCGTAGAAGGGTCTGGATAATAGGTGGGTAGCACAATGTCTTGAGAAAGGTGGAATGGGAACACCACCTTGGGGAGGAAAGAGATGTCAGGTCTAAGGACCACTTTATCTCTGTGAAAACCCAAGAAGGGCTTATCCAAATGGCATGCGGTCAATTCAGAGGATCTCCTGGCTGAAGTGATGGTCACAAGGAATGCTACTTTGAGAGTAAGTAACTTGAAAGAGGCCAAGCTTAGAGGTTCAAAGGATGGCCTAGTGAGCTGTGTAAGCACCAATGAGGGTGACTAAGGAGCCAGTGGAGATATTTTGGGGTAGAGATGATGTTGACCTTTAAAGAATCTCTTCAGAGTAGGTGAAGTAAAAAGTTTGACAGATGGTGAACTAGGGGGCTGGTTGGCCACAATAGCAGACAAATAGACCTGAGAGATTAAAAAGCCAATGAAGATAAAAAAAAATGCAAAGCCATGGAGAGTTGCCACTCTAGCCTCAGCAAATGAATAAAAATGCTTCCACTTATAAGAATAAGACCATTTGGTAGAGTCCTTCCTGGAAGTGGACAGGACTCATAGAAGCTCCGGAGCAGTCAAGGCCGGATTCTCCAAGCTGTCAGATGGAGGCTGTGTAGATCCGGGTGAAGGACTGTACTGTTGGAGTGGGAGAGAAGGTCCGGACAGTTTGGAAGCTTAAGATATTCACCCCTGGACAGGTGAAGGAGACAGGCAAACCAAGGTTGTCTCAGCCAATAAGGTGCCACTAGAATGGCATTGGATCTGTCTGAGATCAGTTTGGCTACAACCCTCGCCACTAGAGGGAGCGGAGGAAAGGCATAAAGAAAGTGCTGCCTCCAATTCAAAAGGAAGGCATCTCCTAGGGAGCCTGTTCCTCGGCCTGCCCTAGTGCAGATGAGGTGAAGAGATCCAGGTGAGGTGTTCCTTATTGAGATGTGATCAGTTGGAACGCCTCTCGTGACAGAGTCCACTCATGTTGAAAAGCCTTGTCTCGGCTGAGAGAGAGTCTGTTAGAACATTGTCCTTGCCTGCCAGATGAAAAGCTACTGGATGAATTGAGTGATGGTGGCACTATGTCCAGAGCTGTAGGGAGAGATGTAGGAGCACAGAGGAATGAGTGCCGCCCTGTTTGTTGATATAGCAGACTATGGTGGTGTTGTCTGTGACCACTTGGACAACTCTGTGATGGAGGTGATGTTCAAATGCTTGAAAGGCCTTGATGGCAGCCAGGAGTTCGAGGGCATTGATGTGTATCTCTACCTCTGAAGAGAACCAGCGACCTTGGACACAAAGACCACATAATGCCCCCCCCCAGCCCGTCATGGAGGCAT